CATGACTTTAAAAAGCAAACAATAAAAGAATAAAACAAGCTCTCTTCTTTAGCTTCACAATAATGATTACTTCTGTTATCATTATATATTACCACTACATTGGAGAACTGACCATTTACAAACTATGTAAAACGTTTTTTAATCCTCCAAACATTCAGAAAATCCTAAAAAAATGCTAATTCCAGCATCAACATTTTTATAATTTTCACATTTACACCAATCCTACTATTACTAAATCAATTACACTAATAGAATCAGGCATAGCACACCAAGCAGTTTTATGCTTAATTAACTGTATCACTATATACTGCACATATATGGCATTATTCTGAACAGACATCATAGGTAAATTCATTATTCGGATGGTCTTTTGTCATGAACAGATTTCATAGGCAGTCTCTGTGAAAGTCACAAGCTAGTCGTGTGTGTGGGCACTGTCGCTGCAACACCAGCAGCACGTCCATGATGGAGGCTGGGCACCAGGTTGCAGCTGCAGTCTTGGGGGACCCTGTCCTATTCTGCTCACAGCGCCTGGACATGCATGCTCACTACCTATATGCTGCCCATCATCCCAGCTCAGCTGCAGGCATCAAGTCTACATCCACGGCATAAATGCAACATCCTCAGCTCTCAAGAAAGCAGCATGGAGAAGCGCAGTGTCCTGCTGGCATGTTGTCACGACAGCATGGGCCCACAGGAGAGGCTGCCCGTGAGCTCGCTCAAGCAGAGTGGAGTCCAGTTGCCATCAAATACTAGAGGGGGCTTTGTAGTGAACAGACCAGAGATCTACCACTCCGGGCCTGGAGAGCTGCAGCATATTCTGGGTTTCATTCCAGCTGAGCTGGAATGTATTAGTTACCTTGAATGTATTAGTTACTTTAATTTGAAGGATCTAACACGTTCTTCAGATCTCTGTTCATTGACCATTTGAGGTATTTTGTACAGCATGCTGGGCCACAGGACCAGGGTGAGAGAAAGCTGGACTAGACAGCCGTGGCCAGGCCATCACCCTTGGACTACCCCGTTAAATTAGATATCGTGAGTGTGTCCTGACTGTCTCGAGTGGAGTGTCAAGAAAAGCGCTATATAAGTGTAAGCAGTGATGATGATGATGATGATGATGATGATGATGATGATGATGATGATGACAACTGTGGTTGCCTAAACCGTAGTCTTATTGTTGGTGGACTGCTGATGAACTACGTTTGTCTCTAACATCTTGTCAGGTTAGAACTTGCTGTCTACAACCACCCAAGACAAGGAGCAATACTGCACTGACAAGTCAAACCACCAACACAATAATGACACGAAATCATTATTCTTTTCATAAGCAGCACAAACTGACTTCTTTTCATTTTTTCTTTCTTAATTTTTCACCGGTGGTGACATTCAACATATTAAGTCACCTTATTACCTGGGCCCAATCAAAACCTGAATTATGTTTTTAATGAGGTGATTTATACTAATGAGGCAATTTAGTGCTCATGCAAAAAGACTCACTCAAGGCTATCACAGACAGCCATGAATGATCAATTAATTAAAACAATGCCAAAAACATTTAATCAAAATTTGGATATTTTTCCTAAGAACAAACATGCTTAAAGTATGCACTCAGTATATGTATAGAATATACAGTACAAATCCCTAATCAGATGTCTAGTATTATTGTGCATGTGTAATATGGCTTGCTCATTAAATACCTCACATGGCTCTGATAGAGGAACTGCCTGCAGTTGAGAATATAACCAGATACAAAACTTTAAGGAGAAAGCCATGCCACAAATTTGTCCATAAAGACATGAGCAAAGTCATCAGTGAAGGCTTGTCTTTATTGTCACTATTAGAGTCTGCTCATTTGAATGTGACTTCCAAACACTAAATACATTTGCATGTTCTATACATTACTGAAAAACTGCAACCTGAAACCCAATGTTCTGTAACATTACCAGGAGATGTAAAAGTACATGAACTAGTTGATTTCCATGGCATGACAACAGATTTGGGTTGACCGTCACTCATTCCATCCCTTATCCATAACTGCTGAATCCTTGGGAGTTGTGGAAACCAGAGCCTGACCTGGAATCACAGAGCACAGGGCAGGACCAGATTCTGGGTGCCAGTCAATCACAGGGCACACCTACATTCAGAGACAAGGTAGAGGCACCAGTTAAACTATCTAGCATGTCTTTGGGACATACTGTATATATAAATGAAAAAAGACATCTGCACTGCTATCCCCAGGAAATCAAAATCATTTGTCCTTGTGTCACAGCAGCCTCACTGCGCTGACCTTGTATGACGTACAACCTGTCTTTCTTGAAGGAGGGATAACACTGCATACTTTCCCTCTAGCACCCCTCTTTAAAACCTTTCATATCAAAACTACAGGCTTCCCTCAAATGAGCAGATAAAACAACACCCACTATGGTGATCAAAGTAACTCGATCATCTTACTGCTAATTTCTTGGCCTGTAAAATAAAAGTGCAAAGACTGCTGTCACCACATTGCTTTGACTGTGCATTTTTGAAGAACAGGGAACCTGAATTTCAATTTTGGCCCCCATATGCTTTTTTAAAGTCTCAACACATGTCAACACAGTGACACAGTGTCACTTGTGAAGGGAGGAAACCAAGTAAGGGGATGAATGGAGATTATGAATGGATTTACTCACAGGCCACTTGTTTCAATGCCACATATACAACAGCCCTAAACACCGTTTGACCACCCAATGTCAAATCGCCAGCGTGCAGCTCACAGCCACAGCTGGATAAGGGTCTGTAGAGGACTTCCACTCCATCTGTACGGAGAAACTCTAAACCACCCACAATCTGTCACAAGGCAGTAATTATCCCAAATGTAAAATGGCCTCTACAGAGCATAAATAAGAGCAAGCATCACTTGAACTGCAGTGGCTCAGGGATAAAACGAATTCATCTTATAAACATTTCTGAAAGCAGATGTAAAAAACTTGCAACTGAAAGGGCTTTTCGTAATACCACAGATATGTCAGATTCCATTTAAATTGTCCATCCACATCAAAGTGGACCAAACTTGAGAATGAAGAGGGGTAGATGTGACATACATACTGTACTGTACCTAAATCCAGATTGAATTAATAATCACCTTTGGAGGAATCTGGAAAGATTGCATTGCTTAGCTTTGTGATCCACATCAGGTTTCACAAGCTGTAAACTCTCTTGTGTAACTTATAAGGTACAGAGATGTGCTAAAAATGCCAAAAATGTTCCTTAACAATGTATGACCAATGTTACAATGATGTTAAATGTTTCCCTTTTCCTCTGTTGAGCAGCACACAATTGGTAAAAAAAAAATGTACTCTGCCACATATGCAAGATGTCTTGGGTTGTTTTAAAGAATCAATACTCATTTAACTACAACAAGAAATGACAGGAATTTCTTCTTTTGTGTTTTGTCCTCTTGATGAGACCACAAAACAGAAGTTCCTAGACAGACCAATCAAAATTAAAGTATTTTTGTACTCTGTAGTATGTAAAATATACAGTATATTATATATATATTAGAAGTTTATTTCAGGGATCCTAACAAGACTGAAAGGAATTTATCAGATTAGGTCTGGCCTGACTGGTAAATTCAGAATTCTGGGAGTTATCAGATGTTTGAGGAGGACACAGTTACAAGGCTGGGACAAAAACAGTATTCTACAAAAACAGAAAAACAAACATGACTTGCTACAATAAAAGGGAAATATCCTAACAATTCACGTTCATCCATTCTGCAGAATTACTACCTTTCAAGATGAATATCTGCTAGAATAATCTGCAGTCACGGCTGCTACATACAGTATTAACATCCCTTGAACATCTCTAAACAGACAAAACCACTGTATTTCACTGTTGACTCAGCCCACTACAGTCTTTCACTATAACAAACTACAGAAATGGTAAAGTTCCCATTTAAAAGACTGTCCTAATGGATTTTTACCTATAAAACACACATTTTACAAACTCAAAACCGAGAGACGCACAGCGCTGATCTAATTTTATGTGATACAAGAGAACCTGCAAAGGCCTCTTTCTAGCTGAAGAAGGAAAACTCTTGCAATTTTTATACAGAATTTACAGAATCCCCACATAAAACAGGGAACAGAAAGTTGAATTTTTTGTGCACAATTTGAACACAGATTGTCAGCGCTGCCTTGCTTTCCAATAAAATTAAAACATTCACAATAATACAGAATTAAGATGGTTTTCACATATGAACAACGTTTGAGATATAAAATCCTCTAGAATATCAATTGGTATTGCTTTAAAGCAAAGGCATAATAAATGTATAAAATTACAAATTACAAATCTGTAAAGCATAATATTATAGTATTGCAATAAGGTTCTCAGAGAAACAGTTTGTAAACTGGGGAAAAAGCTCATCAGGACACAAGAAACTTGAACTATACACTGTACAGAAGCACAGCTCGCATTGTAGTGATTCAAAAAGCAATGTTACTGATAGACAGGGTCAAAACAAACAGGTAAAAAGCAAGTAAACCTATGGCATCTAATGGTATGCTTAAATTACAATTAATCAGTCATTTACTGTGAAAGCATGATGAAAATCCATGTCTAGACTTGAGACCGACTCATTTTTATATCAAAATGAGCACGAGCGGAGACAAGATTGAAACATTCATCAGAAAAGAATGTAGATTTTGCAAGATCCTACTCGCTCGTAAATGTGCAGCCAAGTACGTCCTCCCAAAAAGAAGGCATTTAATATTTTCTTTTCTGCAGGAAAAAGTGTGCGTCTGGGAAAAATAATTATCTTTACGCGAAAGAATAAGTGATTGCACCGGAATGTTTCAAAAGGTGATTAGAAGTTCCTAAACTGCACAACAGAAGATAACTATTTAACAGGTAGCAACACCTGGACAAGGAAATATGCAAATTGGTGTGCCTTTAGCCGAAACTCAGTTAACTTCGTGGACAAAGTTTAAAATCATCTTCCGTCTCGTCGTCACTCTTACCCGTTTCCCTGTGCCAGGATCATGCTCGAATCCAGTTAATCCGATACCAGAGAGGCCGAGGGGAAAGCAATTATCAGAGCAAAGAAACATCTGTAACCATCGGTAGAGTATAAGAACTGACTTCCTCATCAACTGATGTAAAGGCTCAAACACCAAACACCAGATTAAAGGGGAGGGACTCCCAACCAAAAAATAAATTAAGCCGACATAAAATAAATGTGGTTCAAGCATTTAATCGACTGTTTACCGTTTCCTTCTCATTTGAAATAAGCGAATTTTGAAAATGGTGTGATCATTTGGTACAGTATCCACTAGAATATTAACAAAGAAAACAACGCCATACAATGCGTAAATACGAATATATTAATATAACTGAATCCCTTGCCTCTCGTTGCGAAATTATACTTTCTACTCTTTCTAGTGTAGAACTCCCCCTTATTGCTGTGCACCTCCCCGCTCTAAAACATAAACGTACATTGGAGAAAGACTTGCCTGAAAAACTCAAACCATAGACCGAAGACAATCACACCCTGCTTTTTAAGTTCTCTCTTCTTCACAGAAAGTCCTGAAAAAATGTTTTTCTAAATCTTTACCCGACAGGTGTTAGTTTGTCCGGGCGCGGCGACCTGCCGTGCCAAGTGTCCTGCAGTCCGGTGGGCTTGACCAGGAACCTCTGAAGACACCTTGCCCGAGTCTGACGGGTTTGTCCCCAGGTGGGGCTGCACACTGGAGGTGGTGGAGGGATCCCCATTACCTGTAAAGCGCTATATACTGTCAGTGTAAGGAATTATCATTCTTCTTATTAGTATTTTATTATTATTTGGCATCCTTCGAAAAGCACATTTCCTTAGCAAAGACGACACCTTGTGATTAAAGTCAAATCGGCTGTGCATTGCGATGTAATTATAAGTAATGTACGTGGTGCATTTCACTTTACTGGGAAAAAAGGAAGATGCAATGTAACCAAACATTCAATTAATGTCATAAATTACCTCTCGGGACAAATCTAATAAGAAATCCAAGAATCTAATACAACAATACAATACGCAGAACTTTATGAAAGAGGTCTGGACAAATAATATTTCAGTAAGCAAAATAATTACTTTGCATTTAGACTTAACAATTAAATTGTGATGATGACGAGTCCACTTACAAGGATGAAGTTGTACAGCTGCTTAGGTGGTGTCATAGCAATAACCTGGACTTGAACATAAAGAAAACGAAAGAGCTAATAGCGGACTTTCGGAGACACAGGCCACACACTCACAGCCCACTCAGTATTGATGGAACGGAAGTGGAAACAGTCACCAGCTTTAGGTTTTTGGGAATTCACATTTCTAAAGATCTAACCTGGACTGTGAACACTGACTCTATCATGAAGAAGGCTCAGCAGCGCTTTTATTTCTTGAGGTGCCTCAAGCGATGGGGGATGCCAATACATGTGTTGGTGAACTTCTACCGCTGCACTATCGAGAGCGTCCTCACCAACGGGATCACCTCTTCGCGAGAAAAAAAGGCACTGCAGAGAATGGTCAATATGGCCCAGAAGATCATCGGCTGCGGTCTCACCGAGATTAAACAGCTCTATGAGGACCGCTGCCGTGGTAGAATTCTGGCCATCACAGAGGACAGTCACCACCCCGGGCATGAGCTCTTCACCCCACTGCCCTCAGGCAAGAGATATAAGAGCATACGGTCACTTACCACTAGATTCTTCAATAGCTTCTATCCACAAGCAGTGAGACTGGCGAACACATTTAGCCATCCCCCTCGGACCACACCTACACCTACATCACCATCTACCTCATTGTAATTTATTTATTGTACGTCTCCAGTCATTGTTTACACGTCTGTATTGTTTACATTCAAACTGTCTGCATGTTTACTTGCACATTGTCTATTGTTTGTTTGTACATTGTCTTGATGCACTGTTTGCACTTTGTTTTGTTTTTTAACACTTGTTTTACAAACGAGAGACTTTCTGTAAGTAAGAATTCCATTGTACCAGTACCGGTTACATATGGCAATAAAGTTCAAGTTCAAGTTCAAGTGATGTCTCCAAGATCAGAACCATGCAGATTCACAGCAGAGACGCTGTGCCAAACACTTCATAAAGCTGTTATATAGAACCCCTTGCTTGTTGAATATATTTAGTCTGATCTGATTTCGATAGTAGCGATAATATTATAACAGAGTCAGATAAACAGCAGTTTATCCCCCAATTTATTGTTTTTAAGGCCATACTATTCTGCATTTAAGCATCTACATCTAATAGATTTCAGTAAGATAAAGGATTTATGTATATATATAGTATATTCAGTACATGTCTATGAGAGAATACATGTCCACTCTACACCTAATGCTTAGTTACACAGTTGACCTAATTACAGTATCTCAATTTTAAATAAATCTATAAAACTGCTGGGCTGTTTCCCCCAAGACTGGAGATTTTGTCAGCCAATATAGATTGATATATAGATTGTTGCAGACAAGGGCTTCCCAGTCCTTGTTCCGGTGATATCACTGTCTGTTCATTATTTTCTGTTCTTAATGTGCTTGAAGTGGAACATATATATATATATAATTTATCCAGCATCAACGTATCACAAAGTATCACCACAAGCACATTGTGAGAGGTGTTGGTGGGACCTGTTAATTTAGCCTCAAACAAAAGTTACACTAAGATGCCATTAAGCTGACTTGCTTTAGCAGCCCCAGTGGCTTAACTCTACATATAATAATAAATAAAAGACAGGAACAACACCCACAAACAGGATATACCAGCCCAATGTCTGCTGCATATCAAAGAACAGAACCTAGAGCAAGACAAGTAGTAATTACATACAGTATCAAAGAACAGGACAAGCACTCAGATTGTGAAACAAACTTTCTTCTGACTGTATATACTGTAAGAGCTGGGAAACCCTTGCAGTTTGTCTGTTCTGTGGGGCAGACCCGGCGCACGTTGTTGAACTTATTGAGCTCAATAAAACTGAATCTGCACAAGACTGTGTCCTGCTCCTCTGATGAAGAATTTCCTACAACATGCTATACACTATATTCCAAATTAATTAACAATTACACTACATCAGTGATTTGAAATCTGCAGCTTTTGAGCAACTGGTAATGCTGAGAAAACATAATAAGGGTTTAATTGCTTGAGACAACATATACAGCACTCTTTGGTAGAGATATTACTAGATAGAAGGGCATTTTCAAGTGATGTAGTTCCAGATGTTCATGATTTCATATTTATTAGTGTTCTTTTAACACTTGTGCTTTTATTTAAAAACAACCTGAAAGATCTATTCTCTAATCCTGGTATTGTCTGTCTTTAAAATGAGGGGTGACCATATCAGTCATTAATCCCTGTACATTCTGCAAGTACTTTTCAATAAACAACAGATTAATCTATCCCATTTCCAGTAATCTAACTGAAATTTCCAGTTCACGAGGAATGACAAACACCCAAGGTGAAAGCCTCTTGGAGTGAAATTGTGGCTTAACCTGCTTGGCTGAGGGTTGACCTCCTGGACAGAGGACAAGGAGACCAGGGTGATCAAGGGGCAGCTGCAGAGGTGGAGATGGGGTGCAAAAGAGAGGGATAGGGATCTCGTAGGTATTTATAGCTTTTGGGAGAGGAATGGATTGTCAGGAGCGATTGCTAATTACTGACGGCTGAGTCTGATTGAGCTGGTCATTGTCATCCCTCCCGAACTTATGTTATAAACTCTAGTAAGTGCTAAGTGATCCATCAGAAAAAAAAAACATTACCCAATCATTTCTGAGCATGTGGAAGGAGTTCTTCAAAGATCAAGCCCTGTCAACGTCTCTTTATGGCTTGTTTGAAGAACTTGATTGTATTGTTTTTTATATTTGAACGGACCTGCTGTGTTAAGTTTCATCTTTTTCCCTTGCCTGTGCTGGCTTTTATACTGTATACTAAAAATGGCTTTTGTCTCTCCTTGGCCTCCTTCCCGAAAGGTTTCCATCCGTGTTACTATGATGAAAGGCTATCTTCCGTCTTTTTAGTTCAGAAAAAAATTGCACAACATACACTATGTAAATTGTTTCTGACTGTGTTTATGTTTGTGTGTGTGTGAGGGGGACAGGGTGCTTTGAGTACGCCTGCCTTTTTTTCTATTTTTAAAATCTTAAAAATAAATGCCATTAAACACAACATTAGTCAACAGTTGGTAGCTTCTTATTTTACTAATGAGATTTTTTCTACTTCTTCAGCATACCTTTTTAATTCATATGGAACCACACATTAGCTTCCACAATGAGTCAAATGATAAAGCAGAAACTAAACTACCCAAATCTCAGCGTGCCCTCACCTCCCCAAAAAGTAAACTACAGCTTCAGTTTGAAGGGGATTTCAAAACGCTGAATGATTAAATGAAACGTCACAAGTGCTGTACTTTAAAAGAGGCACTTATAACCATGATGCAAACGGGAAATGTATGCAGTAACGTATGAACATTTCTTTTCACTAACTGCGAACTCGTGTCACATTCCTTCAAATGAGGCTTTCACTGGATCCGTTACAAACTTCAACAGAAAAAATGTCACCAACAGTAACAAACGGATAGCACCAGGCTACCCTCTTGCTGTCAAGAAAGTAATCAAAATGAAACTTACTGTATAAGAAGCTAATTTGCTAATGCTCTATCAGTCATGAGATCTTATATACTGATAAAAAGCTCAGATACTGTAACTGCAAGGGAAATGCACTCAAAATGTCATCAGCAAAATACCCAGAGCCTTCAACTCAAAATGGTGAAAAATTGTAATCAGGTCAAGTGATGTTCCTAGATGACAAAGCGAGAGTGATGCACAGGATATTTGCATGGGAAAATAACGATATCACACAGAGTACTGAGACTACTATGAAATTTCACAGAATGGAATTGTTTACTCTCAGAACTGGAGAAGCAATATTAACTTAAGTCATAGATATAACCTAAATCCATGAGTTGCTCCATCTGTGATAGCCATTGACTAATACAGCTGTTTAGAAGAACGCTAAACTGTTACAACATGTAAATGTTATTGTATAAATGATTCATTAAGAACTAAGATGCAAATATTTGTGCTTTGTGCATCCGTTTTTGGATGACTCAGTGTGTGATTGAGTTTGCTAAAGTTCCAGTTGGCTCATTGAAATGCAATTTTGAGATGTGGTATTTAATTTTTTTTTCCAGAGACTTCACATTAAAGAATGTAGATTTATGTGCAACCATGTAAACCTGGTTCTCTGATAATTAGCTATGAGATAAAGACCAAGCTGGATGAGCTCCTTGGATCATTTAACTACTAGCTTTTCTCATTTGAAACTATACATGTTGTATAGTTTATATATCACATTAATTTTTACCATTTCTACAGCAGAGAATTGCAGAATAAAACTATTTTGAAGTGATAAAGCATGTTTTTGTGAAACTATGAACTGTTTATCGGGAATGCTCATAATTTTAGAAAGGCTTGGGAGTTTCCTATTCCATGAATATCTTCCTCAATAGGGAATTTCGAACTAAAAAACTTCCGTTTTTATTTTTACCTAGCTCTGCAAAAATTATTTTGGATTGTCATTGTTCTTTGCAAACTGCTCAGGTTTTATTTTTTTCTGTGCCTGTATCCCAAGGTCTTTCGGATGAATCCCTCTTCCTGTGTAAACCTGGGGGAGATAGTGCAGTGCTGGAACTGGAACACGATGGAAATCTCCATACTTGGTGACACACATTTGTCATGTAAAACTTTCAAAAAACTTTTTAAGTAGAGAAAAGTGTGTCGTGGGGACAAGCAATATTACAGTCTTCTTAAAGGTCTTTCCTAGCAGTTTGAAATGTTGATGCCAAACAGCACCTATTGTACATATTAAAGTGACCTTAAAATTCTGAGCAAGTGTCATTCCTCCATTGGTCACTGGATAACAAAGGGCGCCATTGTACATATGGATCGTTGAGAAGTTGGCCAAAAGATAACATTTTCCACATTTACAATTATTATTTACCTATCTGGCCTCCTGAGCCTGGATCTCCTGACAATTGCTGAGTCTTGAGGCCGCAGCCTGGCTCTCTCGTATTTCAAATAGTCTAATAAAAAGTCACAATTGTTCTCGATGTGTTGTGTTACAGAAAGAGAGATAAAAAAGTGATTGCTTATCACGTTTTTTCCCCTTTTGTTTTTTGCAATTTACAATCTTGATCTGAACTCACTGGGAGGAGGGGCAAACCATGAATACATGTGAATATGCACAATAATAATATTATGATTTTAATTATTTTGTATTTTTGCCACAGAGGGTATTTTCTTGTTTGATTACTTTTTTTGGCATTATAAGTTTGATTACAGAATACAGGTCATATTCATTTAGTTGGAGCCTGTCTAAGGTAAGCTGTCAGAAGCAGCTGCCCGTGGCAGAGCTGGGGTTTGAACCTGCAATCTCATGCTGACAACCCCCTTCAGTAGATGTTGAGCACAGCCTCCACCACTGGCTCGAGACTGATCACAATGTTTTATCATAATAATTATGGATCTCTCTGCACCTTCTATTGCACACACAGGTGACTAAGGCTACTGTCCTTGATCCTGCAGGAAAATTAAAATGTGTGCAATGAGAGGAAACCATCCTCCCTTTATCCATGTGTTTTCTTTACAAGCTCGGTGAAGGTGACTTTTTTCTACACTGCCACCCATTGCTTCGCCCAGAAGTGTCCCTGATCGTCGCCAATACCTACTGAAGACAATACCCACCTGAAGAAGGCTCCACGGCCGAAACGTTGTGTTCTCTTTCTTCTTCTTTTTTTCAGCATGGAATAAACCTATTACTTGTTCCTTAATACCTACTGTGGTATTTTGTAGGGGCGTATTCTGAATGTCCTTAGAGCTGTTTAAAATAGATTCAGTTCTCCAAACTCAACTGGACTACGGCAATTGAAAGACACACAATCCTTAAAGTAAAATATAATATGTTCATGAAGTGAAATCGGCCGATTGGATCGAGGCGTCATGTTACTGAGCTGTCTGTCGCCATCTCGTGGACATTTACGGCAATTTAAAAGGCGGAGTGATGCTGTTGTGAAATTGAACGATCCATTCAATTATATGATAATATTAGAAAGATATCAGCCCTCCTTTAGATAAAAAAAACATAGTTCAATTGTGTTCCTAATTTTTCGTCCTGAGCAAGAAACCACTTTCAGTCTTTGCGATCTGAAAATGGCATAAGAAACCTCGTTTAAGATGACAACAACAACAACAATAATAATGATGATGATATATTGTGTGGTCTATGCCATGTCATCAACACTTTAAGGCTGTGTTAGCTCTAGATAAAGCTCTCGCGTGGCACGTCGGTGGCCGACATACTGTACGTCTTCAGGACACAGAGACGTTTCCTGAGCCAGGAACTGGACATTAATCGCAAGGCTAGACTGCATTCGAACCCCATGTGACTACCGCCTCCCCTTTAACTGTGGAAAAGTTGTTACTGAGAGGCAGTGGGAAGAGTGCAGCAGTGAGTGAGCTTTGTGAACAGCCAGCATGCTTAAGAAATATGCAGTGAGGAAACGTCCAGGGTGCTCTTTGCAGCTAGAGCTACTAACCGTGGCGAGAGGGGCAACGGACTCTAATGGCTTTCCGTGTGCCAGAAACTAGAAACTGGGCTTGTACGCAGCTCAGAAAATGTCTTGTAAGGTCTCTCCTCCTCCTTAGACGCCACCTACGGTATTGTAAGATAAAATTGGTATCAAGTTGGAACAGAGCTTCAAGTCTCTCGTTTGCCTGCCGTGTTAGGTCTCCCCCTGGAGGACCCTTGGTGTAACTGCAGTGGCTTGAATTCGGACCGGCGCGGAGGTTTCCACATTGCCGCAGGTTTCGGTTAAAGAGCTGGCAAAGGAGCATCATTTCTACCGGTAAACGGTGTAGCACAAGCAGCGGGTACATTTTCTCTTCAACGGTGTTTGTGTTGCTCAATTGGCGTGCGTCTCTCTATACATTTCTACACGGATGAGTACTAAAGCTTTAACTCTCCTTCCAGTTCAAAAAGCGCCGTACTCCCACTTCTTGTGTGCTGGTTTAAAACGGGAACAGTTGTTCAGTTTATTTCCTCGTACCCTCTCTTTACTCGTCCCCCGCAATACCTGAATTTTCACTTTTCAGGACTTCACTTTTTTACCGCAATTATTGACAACAAGCCTGTAGTTGTAGAATTTGGCGTCCAAATTTGCCCTCCTTTACCAATCAGGGCCTCCTAATAATTCCCCTCTATGAATTGGCTTCATCACTCTGCTCTCCTCCCCACTGTGAGCTGGTGTGTGGGGAGAGTACTGGCGCACTATCGCTGCCGTCTCATCATCCAGGTGGGGCTGCACACTGGTGGGGGTGGAGGGGATCCCCGTTACCTGTACAGCGCTTTGAATGGCGTGTCCAGAAAAGCGCTATATACGTGTAAGCAATTATTATTATTATTATTATTATTAAAATCGCAATTTAAAAAGCCTTCAAAGAGAGGTGCTTTTTGGAAAATAGTCATAGCTCCGTTCAGGATAGGTGATTTGCACGTCATACAAGGTTAGCTCACCGAGGCTGCTGTGAAACAAGGACAAGTCATGGTGATTCCCTGGTGACAACAGTGCAGATGACTTTTTCCACATACACCTATTTCCCAAAGGCTGGGCTAACCGGTGTGTCTGAATTGTCCCTGTGTAAGACAGGCTGGCACCGCCTTGACTGCAGTCCTGCTTTGTGCCATGAGTTTCAAGTTGGTCTCCGGGCTGTCCAGATCCTCAGCAGGAAGCAGCTTCTCTCTGTGGGCGGATTATTTTCTCCACCTCGCCCCCCCAGGCAGCACCCACGAGCAGAGTACTTACTGTGTCATGTCATGTCATTTGCCAGACCGCTCTGTACCACACGGTGTTGTGGGAAGCCGGAGCCTACCCGGCAAGCAACGGGCGCAAGGCAGGGTACACCCTGGACAGGACGCCAGTCCATCGCAGTACTAAGTTTGTGTACGTTGGGAATAGTTTTCTTCTCATTCAGCGGAAGACTATCTCGTTGTTTGCAGATTTGAAGAAAAAATATCCATCGAGGATGGTGAGGAGACGGCAAAGGAATTATTATCGTTCCCAATAATAACTGCTATTTATGATAATTAGCAGTTCATCCTTGTTTAGGTGTTTTTATTTACAGTACAGATTATGGCCGTAACTATCAATAAGAAGCATTTTATTAAATTGTTAATGGCTAAAACAATGCAAAATATTATAATTACAGTATCCCCAACTGATTTGGGAAAGTTGTCATATAGTATTTCTCCCACAGCACAAATACAGAAGGAGGTTATTATATTAAATGGAACGCGTTATAATTTTCCCCATATAGATTAATGGTGCTTAGTCTTCGATTTACGAGTTTATTTTTTTATACTAGGGATTTTCAGCAACGCATTAAACTTGTGAATTTTAGGGATAGATGTACTCTGAACTCAGGTATGAAGATTCTAAAGCCATTTGGTTTTTCTCATTTTTAGTACCCCGTTAATGCTGATACTCTTAGTAGCTATTTACTATTCACAATATTCCACTTGTTTTTAAACAAAACATATATATTTGAATTGCACCAATGTATGTAAACACGTTTCTCCTATTTACTGTACGTAGCTACAGTCTGATAGCTCAGACGAGCACTTGCCTAGCTCTCTGTAGGGTTCCCTCTAGTGGCTACAGTAAACACTAGCAAGCATTGAAGAAGTGCCTCTTCAGTGTAGCCTTTGGGATAAGGTTAAAAAATCTCCACCTACCCTGCTCATTCCCCAGTCTAGCGTGTAAAGCTACTGTATAACAGTTTTTTTCACAAGTGACTGTTCACGTGTTATTCTGTTTGAATGTTCATATGTGTATTTTATTTCAGGATATCAATATAATTGGTATATTTCACCATTGGCTTAATGACCAGTTTAATTCAAGTCAGGCCATGCTGCAAAACCAGGCCTAGCAATCACTAGCAGATGTGTCGACGTGTTCACCTGACTTGCCCTCCCATTTTCCACTCAATGACGGAGCGAGCCCAAAGTACACGGTAAAAGCCAATATCTTTACTTTAGTGAATGCAGAATACAAATTTGTACAACAATCTCTAGCATAATATTTTAGTCATTCGATAAAAAGTTCACTAGAATATTTATTGTAATAATGAAGATAAAACAACACATTCAGGGAAATTAAAATGCAGATTAACTTAAAATTCTCTTTCTTGATTTTGAAACATTCTGTTTCATTCATGGCAACAAAGTCCAGCTTGTGCCGCCACACGGTTTGAGCCCTCAAACCGCAAACAGCTTTTTTTTTTCCGAGTGAACTAGTAACTACAAACAATTACCAAATACATAGTTCTGTTTTTTTTTCTTTAAAAAAAGCCATAAAGCAAAGCAGTGTACTCTTGCACAGCAAAGTGAAGAAGGTTTTCTACAAAGATTCTCTAATATCCCTTTCTTTCACATTCGACATCTTTTATTTTTGTGCAAGTTGAATTTTCAGAAATAGCATACAGACCCAAGGAGCTTTTCATTATATAGTTGCTTTATATTTACTATTTATTTCTTGTGTGCACACAACAGAGTAATAACAACACAAGGAGAGTACGGAGGAGGGGGCTTGTGCAGACGGGTCTTCCTGTGTCTTAACCTCTTCTCCGATCCTGCTTTTCGATTGTAAATCTGGTCAGGTCTATGTCAAAGCTGTGTCCAAAAATCAGCCTATCAGGTATTCGCCTTGTCTCGAAATGACAACTCTTTGGAACAAGGCTGTGCAATATGTGTACGCCTAGACAAAGAAAAATAACAAAAAATCCCTGAATCCCAATTGAGAGCGACTCCAGTTTTGTTATATTATTGCTGCAGTTTTTCCAAAAAATATGAGCGTGATTTTTTTCCTGCATCTTTAACCTCACGGATCTTTCTTGGATGATTTTTTCCTGAAGTTCTGTCATGAGCTTTATAAAACGAAAAGTAAAGACTAAAACCTGATCTGAGGTTTATCTTTGCTGGTGAATTCCAGGCTTGTTAAGATCCTGGCAACAGTCAGTTACAACAAGAACGTGTATTCATGGATGAGTGCGTTTTTGAGCTGCCCTAATTAGAGAAGAAAATAAAAAAATATCAAGAGAGCAGTCGTTGAGTTAATGGCGGTGTGGCAGAGGTTAGTGTTTTTTTTTTTCTCTGGAGTCCGTTGGCTGTCAGATGTCGTGTTTCAAGAATAAGATCTACAGCATCCCAGTTTCATGAAGAGGGGAAAGCACTTCGAGGGAAAGTTGTAACAGTCTTTAACACCAATTCTTCAAGAATTGAGTGAGCAATTGGATGTGGGCGTGTGCGTATAGGCATGAGTAATGGGTTAGTTACCTAGTCGTACTGTGAACGCTTTCCATGACACAATCACGGATCGGTGCTGGGGAATGGATGTTTTAAGTGCAAGGGGTAGAGACTGCATAGATCGTTACCAGCTGTCATCATCAGCTGCCGTGGCTTGGCTGACGTGTGTGGGGACGGTTTAGGGCATGCCTATGGTTTTCGATAAAGGCACACAAGGAAATAGACAGCAAATGCAAAGGGTGTACTCCTATAAACGCTGTACAGCACACTTCAGGTACAGGTTCAGGCGCCATCTAGCGGTGATTTCGTTGTGTTTGTTTTTCTGTTTTTCCGTTTTCTCCCTCACCCCCTCATAAAGCTGCTGAATTTCCTGTCCCTTCGCCGCCTCAAAGGGAACAAACTGTGAGTATAAAGATGAACGAGAATTTTGAGGACGCCTAAAATAACGGACCCCTGTCTCCTCTCCCTTAATAACTTCGTTCAGGCTTAAAAAGGAAAGAAATCTCAGAATCAGGATCTGAACACAATGTAGGGGAATGTTGGTGTTAAATATTAAAAGATGACTCCTAGGTGATGAGGTTACAGCGGGTGGCTTAATGTGTTTGGTGGGTTCGTGGGATGAGGGAGAGGGGCTGACAAATGTTATTACCTCCATTAAAGTACAACAACAGCCCCCAGATAACACTCATTAATGAAAGAATAACATGCTTTAAACCCTGTATCTGCTATAGAGGTCATGCATACTGAGTGACATAAAAAACAACAAATGCTATTAGTTCCATTACTTTAGTTTTGAGTTTTTAATGCCTCTCAGTGTATTTAACATTTTACCTCCAGCCTAGGCATTGAACAAAATTTTAATCTGCACATGGGTTACACAAGGAGGTGTAAAATAACTGTGAGTGACTGTGGGGTGGGAGGGGTAATCGAGTCACGTGCCATTTCTTCAGTTTGGCTTTGGATTGAAATGAAGATGGCGGTTTCAGATCCTCTGCTGAGGCTGAAGGCCTCTCTGTGTCCTGTGTTTCAGTCCCCAGGCGTGAGACAGGTTCGGGCAGTGAGTTCAGCAGCTTTAGACCTGTCCCTCAAAGAAGGGAAGTAAGAAGGAGTTCCACAGTTAAACACCGTGCCCAGCTTTTCTTGCGCTTTGCATTTCTTCTTTACAAAAAGATACAGTGAAGCTTCACCATTACAGCACTGTCATTACAAATTTTATAGGACAAGCATTCACCACCACTAAAGGGATAACAACCCAGACACTACCCTCTGAAAAAACTCCGGTTATTAACGATAATAATTCAAATTCGAAGAAAGTACAGCATATTTAACAAAATAGTAAATATTAACCAGTGAATACTCTACTTAATAAGGACTTCGCCTCATAAACCTGGCGGTAATCCACAAAAATATAGTTTTTTTTTCTTAAATCTGGTGAAGGTACAATACATACGTACTTACACCAAAGGTGATATATATTAAAGTTGCTATATACACAAACAACAAAAAGAAAAAAGTTTGGCTCAAATTTCAATTTACAAACAGAACAGCGAGTGTTCATGGCTTTAGTTACGGTTTCAAGGTCTTGCTTGTAATGTCATTTTATTGTTTGTTTTTTTTAATAAAACATTTAAAATAAACTAAAAGTCCCAAATGAAAAGGATAAAACCCATACCTACAAAATAAAGGCATCAACATACAGCTTTGGCTTATATAAATAATTAATTGCTGAAACTGTGTGTGAACTTTTTTCTTATTCTTGTGTATATTCTTAAGTTGGGTATGAGGTCTTGGGTATTGAATCAAAAATACACCTGATTTGTAAGTCAGTCTTTAGGTATAATTTCAAGGTATAAGCATAGAACAACGTCTCCACCCATATGTCCAATTTTAAATTAATATATTATTTCCTTTAATGCTTAACTTCGCTAAACTAATATATCGCTGAATTCATGCTGATTCCATTAGAGATTTCCTCTGGTTTCTTTTTCTCTTCCTCCAGAAATCGTGGCACGGCCCATCGCATCGCCCACTTCGGGTACAACGCTTTCTTGTTTTCGAACATGCAAATACGCTAGCGCCCCCCACTGGCCCGCCGAGGGAACCGCCACCCACACGAGAGCATCCTGCTTCAGAAGCGGGCCGCCGTGGCTTCCAGGAGGCAGCCGGTGTCCTTCTCCGCTCTGTGCGCTATTGCTCAGTCCTCTTTCGTCTCTAAGATCTGCGACAAGATCTCTGGTTTTCGTCTTTACTCGGTTAAAAAAGAAAAACTGACCAGGAGGACGTCTTCCTCCCTGAAGCTGTAACAGGAGGGCCGGCACCCGGCTGCTCGGTGTGCCTTCCCCGTCGGGCAGCACGAGGGAGCAGCCTGGGTGCGAGGGCGACCCTGCACTTCCTTCGACTGCTTGTGTCTTGCAGACAGAACCAAAAGTCTAACAAAAGATTACAAGTGAGAGCCAGACTGGAGCAGAGACTACGAAAATCTGGGGCACGCTGCTTTCATACGTGGGACTCCTGCGAATGTACAAGAACATGTTGTACCAAGTACCTGATAAGTCTTTGTCTTTAGAACTCAGTCCTGAGTCCTTATTTATTCTTGCCTTGTTGTATGTGTGAGAATTAATTTAGATATGTCAGGACACCTTTTTTTTCTCTTTCTCTTTCCTAGTTAAAAAAGTAAATAAACTTAAATAAGAACAATAATAATAATAATATTAAAAAGGAGACCTGCACTACCCCTCCCCTCCCCTCCCCGCCTCTCCCCCGCTCTACAATGGCTAGTCTAGCACCTGCCCAGAGGGGGCACCGGGCGGCTCTATGTCACCCAGGTGTCCATGCGCATGCGCTTGACCGAGGGGCTCTCCCGCTCCTCCCCGCCGCCCGCGGGGCCCCCCAGCCCCAGCGGGGAGTGGAAGTCGGCGCGGTGGTCCTCGCGGTCGCTGCCGTCGTACGAGCTGCTGGAGGAGCTGAGGCTGTCGACGGGCGAGCGGCCCATGTCGGGCCGGGCCGGGGGCGGCGGCTGCGCGGGGAAACGGTCGCGCGGGGGCGAGATCGGCTCCGACTTGATGTGGACGTTCTGGCTGGTGTTGATGGACAGGTTGGGGCCCTGAGGCATGTGGCCGCCGGACCTGCAGCAAAGACAAGGGCGCGGTCAGCGTGCGCGCTTGAAAAAGACAAGGGGGCCAAGGAGGGAGGCTGGTCTCGCCCGTGAAAACGTCACAGCCAGTCAGTCTATTCGAGAGCTGGGGGCTGTGGGAAGGAATCATTCTGCTAATTACTACAAACTGGCCTCCATGACTAAGTTGTATTGCTGTTGAAAACGGGAAATAGTGGACAAGTTTCGAGAATTCATCCCTGGTTGCTACGGTGTTTAATTAGGTTTGGACTCTGAACACACAGTGTTGGGGTGTCGCTCGGAGCAGGGCAGCGCAGAGGTACTCACACCAGCGAGCTGAGGGCGGCCTGGCCCAGCTGGTGCTGTTGCCAGGCCGACATGGAGCCCAGGGCCAGGCCTCCTGGGGAGCTGAAGCCTTGCAGGGCGGACAGCTCCGCGCTGCTCAGGGAGTAATCTGCCAAACAACACACGTGTCCGAGAGAGAGAGAGAGAGAGAAGTCACTTCCTTTTCACCAGACTGGGCAATAAATGAAAACAAAAACTTGCTTTTTTTATATATACGTATGATTAATCATTTCTGCTTCGATAGAAACTGCTTTTCTGTACCAGGTGCAAAACAGGTTTCTGAACTGTCAGGAAATTTGCTAACGATACAACAAGCTGGGCAAAGGAATGCCACTGTGAAACCTACTGGCCGTTGAATGCTAGCTTTTCTTGAAGGCCGTGTTTTCTGTAGAAAACTACAATGGAACTGGCCCTGAACAATTAATCAGCGCTAAAGTGATGTTGTGGCCCTTAGAAAGTACAGTTTGGTAGTATGATATAACTTATGAATTCAACATTTTTTGTGTAAAGAGAGGTGCTTAATTTTTCAAAATTCAAACCAAACTGTGAGCTCTCGAGTTCAATCCATCATTTCAAAACAGACTGCTCATGCAATCTGACAGCAGGGCTGGCCATCTGCCCACTCTGCACCAGCAGCCCCACTGCATGGCAGATCAGCTGGAGACAGGAGAAACTGCTTCACCCATCGCATTCAGCTGCTAGACAGGGATCTTTAAAGTGAGTTTGCCTATTCTAACAGCTGTACCGTGAAAGCTGTGCACCACAGAGTAATTAATTGTGGTACAATTACGAGCAGGACCATGGGGAACATGTTTCTATGGACAACAGCGGCACAAGCTACAGTAAGTAGCATCGTGTCAGTTCAACACAACCATGGTTTGTGTCTATGAAGGCATGCACGTATCGTCTGGTGGACACCGCTGATTCTACTGGCTCTACGTGGTTTTGTCTGTGTACCAAACTCCATAGCTCCAGTGTCGAATTGTTCCTCTAACTGTAGATCACCCTGTGCACACTCCGTCTTGGTGAAGAATGGAGTGAGCCGAGTGAAACCACACTTCGATTTCCTCTGCAGGAGGCTGATGCCATTACCTGTGTTGTAGGCCGTGGGCATGGCTGAGTACACCAGGCCCTGAGGTGGCAGGCTGGGCGTAGTGACGGACACCACGGGGGTGGCCAGTGGCTGGGCAGCCTGGGAACTACTGATCCTCTGGGTGTTCTGGAGAGAAGACAGCGACACGCGGGTCAGAGCGCGGCCAGGAAAGCCCGAGAAAATGACACGTATGTAACGCCACACCTTCCACCAGCACTGGCTCTCGACCGGGAAATCGGCCAACTGATACCTCCCTGTGAACTTCTCCGGGATTGTTTTTGTCATTAACTTTCTGCTGTGACAAACCATGCCCTTGCATGAGTCACTTTACTTCACATCACAGACTGAGACTAAGATACTGTGTGGGAAATGAAATCACAATTTTAATACTTTCAAATAAATTTATAGTACTAGCTTCCTTTATAAAGTCTAAATGAGAACTCCAGATGCAAGGGGCTGACAAGGCTGTGCAATATTTCTAATGTAATTCTATGTTGTTCCACTAGCTGTCGCTGTAACTCCACAAGAGAACGTTTTATTTCGGCTGAACTGAAGAACATACTTCATAACGTAAACAGAAGACAATTGGTTTTCATACACTGTCAAAATAGCCTGTTTTCCCCCTCTTTTCACATTTAAATTAGATTTCAATTGGTTTTTATGTCAAGAGGACTGAAAACAAATGGATTCCAAGAAAGACTAGGGAATCTCAATTGAACGACTGAAGCTGGGTAATACGGTATATTATGGACTATACCATGGACTCCAGATTATAACTGGTAATAAACTGTTTAACAAGGATTGTTAAGTCCAGTTAATACACTCAAATAGGATGAAAACTACATTTTTATTTAGTACTGCTGTAGTAAGAGGACTTGCACTTGAGATATCAAATTGCAAATCAATGCCTTTCTTTCAGCTTTAATTACTGTTCAGCACATCAACTTATAGTCAATGCATTCACACATTTTGAAGAGAAAGAAATATTCACAGTCTTAGACTCCTTTTGGGGGGATCATTTTCCATGCTTTGAAAACTCTTTAAGATGCTCGTAATGATTTTGAGCCATGCAAAGCTATTGCAGCCATGATGTTTTGAAAACTTCAATGCAGAGACAGTCAGGGAACATTTCATAGCTGCAGATGCACAGCGGAGTATGGTACCCAAGGTGCATAAAACCTTTGAGTATTTTTTATCATCCTTTTGATGTCACTCTGCTGCTAAAACACCAAAAATCACAGCTAAAACACCACGCAGCATGCAAACACAAATTCACAGCTAGTTACAGCCACAGCACTGAGACACCATTAACTTACATCCATGCAGCTCAGCAAAGCTTTGAACCAGCTACACCCAAGATGAAGCAATAGAACATTTTTGTGGTAACAAAAAAACTGGGGCTGAATTAGGGTGAAAGGGGCAAGAAAGATGATCTGATTTTGACACGGAGGAGCCGCATGAAAGGCGACTGTTCTGTACCAGTAATTTAAAATAACTTAAAATCTTGCAGATTGCCATTGATTTTGTGATCTTTGTTAAATTGTGGATGAATTGTGCTTAAATATTAAAAAAAAAAAATCTGGCTTGGATCAAATAACCTAGTTAGGAAAGCTTGGTGTGCTGAATAATTATTCAGTGTCTTTCTGCTTGTTTATCATGCTATCAATATAAGGCATCTACTGGAGATGATAATCTTATCCCAATTCAAATGCGTGAAGGAATTCAAACACCTGATGCTGAAGGTAATGCAAATTTAAGAGATCGTTAAGCATTTTTGAATATCTAGGATGCTGTAAAACTGGCAGAATTGGACTGGAAGACTCTCGTACTTGAGTCACACACACATTGCACTCTCACACACTTCTTCTTCAAGGCTGCACAAACACACAAACGCCCCCTCGTGGTTTTTCTTATTCTCAAGCGAGATTATATCATTCAGTCCAGAGTCTCTTGGTGGATGACATCATCCTGAATGAAGTCATCTCCCTCAATTAGAAAAAAAAACAATGAAAGACCAAAAAAAAAGAAGAAATAAAACTTCTGCGGTATTTTTTAAGGAACTTTGTAAATGATATCATCTGAGGGGTTAAAATGAAAGAAAATGTTATTTATATACTGTAGCAGCATATATTTCTCTACCAGTATATTTATATCGGCTTGAACAGTGTGGCAGTTTGCATGCATCCCTGTGAGGGAAGAAGGCTGTGGCTTTCTAGCCCTGAGCTAGAATTGATTTTAGGCTGAGCTGTAAGCTTTGCAAAAAAACCCCGCCTTTCGACACTGGCACGGTTTGTAGCTGTGGGGCAAGGCAGAGAAAATGCCAAATCAAACACTTTGTGACCCCTGCCACCCTCCTGTATTCAGACCATGGGTCTGCTTGAGCCCATTTGGGTAATGAATCATGATCATGATTCAGGCTTTTCACAGGTTCTGGTTGAAGGAAATAGCGCCAAGCCTGATCTCTGTTCCACTCGGCGCACACATACTGCACAGCAGCACAGCGCCAGGCGATCTGCAGGGTCCAGTCGTGGTGCCCTGAGGGGGCTGAGGCAGCTGTGGGCCCCATTCTTGTTCTGTCATCCCCTGCCCCAGGTACACAGCATGCACTGGTGTAAATCCCACCCTCCAACCAGCGCTGGAGCTGGAGCTCAGCTCATGCGCTCAAATTCAGCTTTGAAGGCCAAACAAAAAGGGTGTTAAAGGCCACATGTTTCTGCTTTAATTCTGGTCTGTGCCCCCTTGTTTAATGATTTCACTTGCTGCTTCCTTTTTTCTTAAAGTCACGCATTTCTCATTTTTGCTCTCCAAGCACTTTTCCAAACTCACCAAATCCATTTCATCCTCCTCCGACTGCTCTCAGCGGAAAAGAAGAAGAGAAGATGGCACTGTTACACAGGCAAGGAACCACCCTGATCCCACCTCTCCCCGCAGCCCCAAGCTTTGACCCACAGACCCAGCACTGCAGAGGCTTTCTCGATCGGGCTCTGCTGTGAGAGATGGGGGGCTGATTGCCCACTGATACGAGCCCCTGTGAAGCTTTATGATGAATCGGCTCTAAAGTAACAACCAGTCCAAGTCCAACAAAGCTTCCTAATTCCTGCTCAAGAACAGGCATGCACAGCTGTCTATTTGTAGGTGAGATACTGGATGCATTGCTTCAATGTTGTTTAATAAAACAAGGGTTTTAAAATGTTGCTTTTCTACAACCCAGTAATTGCCATCTCTTAGAAAGGTGATCTTGCTCCAGAGTTTTAATTTGACCCCTAAAATGAGAGGCTACTCAGAGACAGCTGTTGAGTGACTGAAGGGGAGAAGCCTCAATGAGCACAGGAAGGGTGCACGATACCGGACCCAAACCCAGCAGAACATAGGTCCTGACACAGAGAGAGAAATGGAGGAGGCTGTTTGGAGTGACCGTTTAACCTTTCACCGAAGATACTTAACCTCTCGTGTCAGAGCTTTGGCAGCATGCTTACGAGTCATGCCAATACCATGATTAATCTGGTACCTTACCACCCAGATCACCACTTAGTTTAATTAAATATTTGAGAATGGGACTGACAGGTTTTTTTGCCGGTCTTTTAATGACTCACAAAAGGACATGTACTACCACCAGGACTGGAGTGCTTCCACTGCAGAACTGCTGGTCTCTTATTAACGCCACAGTGGAAGGTAGCCTGAGCACCTTAGGCTGGAGGTATTAACGCCACAGTGCTCGTCTGAGAGGGGGGTTAAGAGATTTGCCTGCAGTAGCACTGGAATGAGCCTTCTCTGCTGCGTAGACAAAATCTGAGCAGACACCCGTCTGTCACTGTCCTTTGGGATGGTCTGAGACCAGGCTGGCTGTCTTAATACCCACATTGAGGGAATAATGTGAGGCAGACATGACAAGGGTGACAAGATATTATCTACTAACGTTTTAGGCTCCTAAAAAGCGTTCATCCGACTCTGTCAGAGTTAGACATGATTAATTTAATACCATCATGACCTAATGAAAGGTTGTCAACAGACTCTCTCTCTGTTGCCACAAGGTTATGATTTTCTTCCCCTTTCTTGGATTTGAAGGAGCTGTATTTTCAAAGAAAACTGAAAAGGGACAAGTAAGCCATTTCTCTTTTTGGATTAGAGGAACTTTTCTAAACTAAAGAATACATGCTGGCAATCTTTTTTCTTGTTTCTTATTCCATTACTAGCCTGTTGTTTATGAATGCACTGTCAGAATAGCAGGCAGCACATGGGTGCTTCTATCTGCTCTTCTTTCATTTATAATCCTAATTTAATCATGAATCTACACATCTTCCAAATGCTGACCTTGTTACATGTGCTTCACCTCATATATGACATGCCTTTGGGATACGAGACGACAAATCCCTCGGTTAGCCCAGCAATATTTACACAGCCACTCCCTGGTCTTCCCGAAGGGCTGATTCTGGCGAAGGAACTACTAACTCTCCCAAGTTTGAAGATGAACATGTGTGCCAATTTTTGTGCATTTTGATTAATGGACAAGACTGCCTAAAGTAGCCTAGGGTGTTGACTGTGGTTTGGGTTTCTTTCCACTTTAATTACAATAATTAGAGAAACCCTGTAATTTCTGTGTGAATAATTGACTGATAAAGCACCTGGGCCTTTGAAATATTTCTATTCATGATGTTTGTGCTCCTGGCACAATCACAAGTTCTTTCTATGACAAATCGCTTGGGCGCTGCACTCAAACAAGAGCATCGTAAATACTAAGCAGCACACTTCACTAGTTATTCAGCCAACTGGGGCACACCCCCAACCTCCATCCACTGACTCTCATGCCTTCATATCAGATTTCAAGCTAGGAGTTTGTATCTATTAAATTTTATTGTAGAGAGGGGTTTGATGTGACATAGCTGTAAACTGCAGGGAATGGCTTCCATTGGAGTTGGGGACAAACCAGAATGCAGAATCGCAGCCACGCGGACTGACTTCTGCCACCCGCCTTGCTCTGGCTGCTGAGTCCTCATGGAGCTTTTTCAATGGCTGCGCCATTCCAGACGCTGGCACAGCTCTTGGCACTCTTTTTGCTAGTCACTCCTTCATTTCTTTTCTCAAGCTACTGTAGTGTCCCAGAAGACGTTTTCCCAACCCTGGAGTCTCCTGGCTTCCCTTCCTGCTCCGCTCTTTAAGCTTTCTGCTAATCCATCTCTTTTGGAGGGGTTCTGGTAAGAACCCTCTTTTCCACGCAGCTGTTTCAAGCTCTAAAGAGGTGGATGGGGTTAGAGACAGTATCACACCTACCCCCGTTCAGCTGTTTAGAATGCAAGCAACTAGGCCTCTGCTAAACGAAGAACAACGATTGTACCGTAATGACGACCTCAGCTGGGATGGAAACAAGAAGAGAGGCGGGAGACGACTCCCCTTACACACCGGGGTGTCCCCAGACTCACCAGTGGGGGCATCATTCCCTTGCTGGACGGGGGGATGACCACCCTCAGGTCCGGCTTGCGGTTCCCAATCCCCAGGTTGCCCCCGGGGGGAGGTGGTGACTTTGTGGGCATGACCTTCCCAAGGCCGTTTCCACTCGGGGTGCCCAGGAGGCCCGGGGAGCCCCGTGGATTCACAAAACCATTCCCTGTGGACACGAAAACAAGAGACAGAAGCTGCCGTTAGTGCAGAGCAGAAGAAGGCTGGAGCCTGGAACCTGGCTGACCAGACCTTGTTTCTGCAGGCCAATAAACACAGAGTAGCCCGGAGCCAAGTCTTAAAAGAGTCCATTTCACAGCTGCACTGCATTCCAGAGGATGCAACGCTAAGTGTTCTCTGCCCTCTGGGACATTTAATAGACTCTGGTAAGTATGCTGTGCATATCTGAAAATAAAACAGTCGTTTTAAAATTGACGAGCCTTTCTTTCTCTTGGTGAATGGCTTCATTAAAACACTTGGTTTTGTATTCTGGGAGGAGACTGGACAGCGTATGTTAACCAGTTCCTTTCTGTTCTCTTCAGTGGCTCTGTTCAATCCCTGCACAAGGGGGACGCAGGCAGCTCTGCTCCTACAGCTGTCAAGAAAACCTTTATGGCTGTATGGCTCTCTGGGTCTCCCGGAGCAAAATACCAAAGAAGTATTTACTCTGAAATTTTGCCGTAAGATTTCAGCAGCCGAGACTAATTTAATTCTTATCAATCAAACCCAAGAGACATCTAACCCTTAACTAAGAGGTAAGGTCAAACGTGCTGCCTAAATGCAGATCCATTTATATGTTGGCAGCCAGTCTTCAGTTTAGCTTTTTCATTATAAGACTTATGAACTGCCACTTTCCCGAAGTTACGCAGTAGCATCACTGTAAGCACACAGGCAAGTCACAGAAACCCCTCTGTCAGGGCTGTGCCCCCAGCTGGTGGGTGAGTCAACCCCAGGCGTGTTCAGTCATATGCCACTGCTTGGGGAATCCCAGTAGGCTAAAGACACACCCCAGACTTGAACTGCCTGTCTGGACTTCTCTCTGAACATACTGTACACTTTTCAGCCTCTTGGTGATAAATACTACTGGAGCAAAGGCAAGGAGTGCAGGCTGGATAAGTCTGGTGGCTCGAACATTAAAATAACTGCAAACCCCTTTCACTGAGAGAGGCCGGCAAGCTTGGATCCCCCTACAGGGAAAATCCATCTCATTCAACCCTGAACAATGTCATATTCAAATTAAAGTTGAATGCAGAATTGTTCAGGAGAAAAAAACTACAACTGCTAAAGGAAAAATAGGTCACGTCTTTAGAATCACGCTCACTTTAAGCGCAAGGTTCATTGTTGTCCCACAGCTGCCAGCCATCTCCTCAGATGAGGACGTACAGTACCTTGTCATTACCTCCTGATGCCATATCCTTTGTGATCACTACAGCCTCCTTTCCCCCAAGTGTTAACGGCACTGTTTGAATGCCTGGTGTAGTGCCAGGCAACACTACCATTTTCTCTGCTACTTAGAATGAAAAAAAGGTGCTTGTGCCACCATCTGTTTGTTCATATTGTTTGAACTTCCTTCAGGCTCAGTTGCTTCCATAATGCATTTACAACATACCCACTATTTCTGCTCTGAAGCAGTTACCCAGGCAAACTGGGATACTAACGTTCATAAAGAGACACCGGACGGACCATTCATAACATTTTCCCTCTGACTGTTGATAACACAGCCTTCTAAACTAGGACAAATAATTGTGTCTTTCATGAATTTTGTGTGAAGGTCACTGGCTGTTCCTCTCTTTAGAATTAATAGCAACTTGTGCGCTCCCAGATGAGCAAAATTGTTTTTGATGTTCCTTTTTTTCACAGGTTTTCACATTCTCCTTCACTTTTTCAGAGAAGTGAGGCATCCCAAAAATAAGAAGCACGAGTATAAGTTAAAAGCTACTGTTTCTTGCGGTTATTCTTGGGAGACGCAGCACTATATTTGTGCGGTTCTTTCTCTCCCACCCTGCCAAGTATTTCCTGCAGCAGCCCTTGAACGGAGAAGGAATACTGTTTTAGCTGCCAAAGGCACAGTGAAAATATTCCCGTCTCCTGAAGGACCTGTCACAAGTCGGCTGGGCTTCAAAACATCTTTCCCTTCCTCCTCCTCAGTAAACCCCACACAGTATGGCACAGCCACTCAGGGGTCTGTGCTCTGTGACATTCCTCCAAGCCAGCCAGACAGCGCACTACTCTGTACACGAAACAGGGACAAAAGCAAATACAGAATGGCTGCACGGACTACATCCAATTTTCAAATCAGTCACACGCTACGAGACGCAAAAGTAGTAATAAAAAAAATCATTGCCTGACTGCCAAACGGAAAATCTATATATGTTGTTAACGCACAAAGCTTTTTATTCCACCTTGCAGACAGCTCCTGTGAAACCCTCTTAATGGCTGTGGAGACCAATGATCCTTTATAGCAAAAAAAGCACAGTATAGATTTACTCTCCATGGGTTTAGGAATATGGGGATTGGTTTTAAAAAACGTAATTATCACCCTTTGAGTTTTAACACATCGGGATAAAGCACCCCCTAATCTTCCCTCCCTGCATGTTTCATAGGTTTTCATAGCCCATTCAAATGTATTGTTTCTGCCTACCTGGACACAATGCCCTTGTTAGTCTCACACAGAAAGGAGAACTGGCACAGCAAGCATTTTTTTCAGTCACAATGGGAAGGGAAGACTTATTAGCTTGATGGGAGGAAATAACGACTAAAGGATCAATAGAATCTGGGATTAAATCTGCTCAGTCTTTAGCAAAATGTCCTTCATATTTTTTACCATTATAGTTCAGTCCAGTTATAAAAAATAACTCACACAGTTCAAGATTCTGGGATTGAACAGGTCAATTTTGCTTCAGCTTTAATTGACAGCAGGTAGAGCTACATTGTACTGCCACTAATGAGGATATTGATGTTCCATGATTTATGATTGTAATGACTGTAATGTATTGCACGCCATTTCTGTGATAGTGTGCATTAAGATGTTTTTTCTACAGTCAGCGATTGACATCAGCCCATGATTTGGTGTGTCACAGTTTGTGAATCAGCTCAGTACTCATTCGGAGAAACCAGACCACAGACTACTCTAATGCAGGTGCGTTGTAAAACATGCTGCTGTTCTAACACTTGCTTTCGCTTTCCTATGTTGTTCACATGGATCACGAAAAAAACAGATGGCTTCAACTCTGTCGAAAAAGTCTAACTTTTTCTTTTACTTTTTTAGCTGTTATCGTAATGTCTCTTTCTCATGGCCCTCAGTGCAACTGCATTATTTCTAATTTCACGCTTACAGTCATAGTGCATAGTGGCAATAGCCGGTTATTATGAAGGATCAGTTACAAAAAGTTTCCATGCAACTTACTCAGCAAATTTGGGTATCTGAAGGAACACTTTAACATTAGGTAGTACTGTCCCTGCAACTCACACACAGACACCCACAAGATTCCTTTACGGTTCACCTTTGATAAGAGTCTATTCATAACGATATTTAGTGGAGTTCCTTTTGAGAAACATGGAAAATGTTAGCTCAGTGGAATGACCCAGAAAGATCGTATCGTAACCAATCTTTTCTTTTTAACCCTGTAACTTGACAAGTCAAACAGGAGAAGCGACAAAAAAGGGAGAAGGCCTTTCTCCACTTTTTAAATGATGCCTTCATCTAGCCAACTCTACTGTAGCTGTTCAAGACAGATGCAGTTTGATGCCCCAAAAACTTGCTGTTATGTCCTGGGTTCAGACATAACAAGTAAAAGATCTCTAGAGTTGAACTTGTACTAGGGTGTGCTGTTAACAGTGCTACGAGACGAGCCAAGGAGACGAGGAGGTGTGTGTGCAGAGGTGGGTGCTAAAAGCCTGACATTACTGAAAGAGGCTCACCAACAGGGCTCTGATAATGATCGGGGAGCATGATGTCATTGTGTGGCAGCCCTCCAGAATTAAACCAGGCAATCAGTCACTGCAGCTGAACAATACCCAGGCGTTCAGTCCCGCCAGTGCACCTCAACTCTTTAACCCTTTCACTACCCAGAGCCTCCTTCCAGCTCTGTCAGGTACAGAGAATTGCACACAAGGCTCCATTATGAACACCGCGTCCAGACATCAAGAGAGCCACTGGCCTTGCTGTACACTGGTCAGACAACACAACTTTCTCATTAAAAACAAAATCACACAGTCCTCAGCTGTGCGAAAGGACACACAGGGCCTGATTCAGTGTATCAGTCAGAGCAAATGGTGTAGTAAGCCCTGATTTCACTGCATTATCAACCAGGAGTAATTAGTGCCAGAGGGATTTTTATTTCTCTTAGACTTCAACAATTAGCTCTTGCTTGGTGATTATTTCCTTTCGGTTGATTTTCAAAGCAAGATATTACCACACAATTGTCAGCTCATGAACAATTCAAATTCTAGGGAAAATCCTTGACAAAACTATAAAAGTTAAAAAATTTCTTATGGAATGGTTTATTGTTCATCCCTTTTTGAACAAATTACTGTTATTGACACTGTCGTGTTAGTCCTGATTCTGAAACAGGCATTAAGGTGAACAAAGGACATTTAAAATGATGGATTTTTATAAAGAAATTGTGCTTAATAATTGCAGACCCATTTGAACCCATGTTACATACTCAGGTGTAGTTTTAAAACACAAGAGCTAGTTTCTATTTTAAAACAGTATAAATATGACATATCACCTGAATATGTCATTTTATCATTGAGATTCCGCTGTTAATTGCCAAATCCTTTTAATTTATCTCTCCCCACTGTGAATTAGAAAACGAATTTAATGACATTACAAAATGAAAACACCAATCTCCTGTTTATTGCTATGCATATATATCAGACACTAGAAGAGACTGATATTAGCATATTATATAGATTTGTATTTGATATGACAAAAATCATGGGACCATAGCTCCTCAATACCTCAATACTGATTTAGAAATGCAATGTGTTCTCCTAAACAGGCTATTTTATTTAATTCTACAAATTCTTACTGATCTCAGTGGCAATTTTTAAAAATCATCTTCAAATAAAACAATTTGGCATATTTTTGCCCCTTGTACAGTATTTCTTGTTCAAACCTAACTTCATAAGGCCAAGAAGAAAGGTTTGAGTTTGCCATTAACA